ATAGAAGTTATTCTTGCGTTTCACTCGGAGAACGCTTATTTTTGCTTTTTGCTCACGTTAGCAGATTTTTGAAGGTTCCGCCTAGGAAACGAATAATTCGAGGTTACGGGCGCGTTAGACGATATCTTCGTGGTGTAGTTCCGATAACAGTCAGCTTGAATTCTTATGCAGGACAACTCCACTCGTTGGTCGACAAGCGCTGATGGGACTGCATTCGTTTCGACACTGTCAAACACTTTTCTTAGTCGACAAAAGTCAGAACTAGGGACAAGTGGTATTTCGAAAAAACTTCACTAACCATGGATACGGGTTGGATGTGGTTCGTGCAACAAAATATCTGTCGAAATCTTCATCCAGTGCCCTTGATATGAGCGTCAAAATAGTCTTAGCAAAGAGCACGAAGAATGAACTCAACGAGTATATCGGACGATGCCGACTTTGATGGGTACGAATAACGCACTCAACGAGTATACCGGACAGTGTTGAAATTGATGTGAGCCAGTGACGTTATGTTGAATCAGGGGCAGTGAGCTACACACAAAGTTACGAGTGTCTTCGTAACAAGGGACTGCCCTCAGCAAAACCCAACTGCCTTATCTACCGTACCAGAACTTGAAAAGATAATAAGTAAAAGTTTACTACAATCATAGGGATGTGAAAATAGAGGATATTAGTCAGTGGCTTCATTCAAAGGCTCGAATGCGGCCCATACTGCTCTTCTTCTTCTGTCTAACTCTTCTTTTATATTGTTCTCCATCCAATGAACGTTCAAGGTAGACATACGAGTGGTCTGCGTAATCAGAGAATCATCCAGTGTGACCTGTTCGCCTTCCCGACATGGGTTTTTCACGAACTGGGTTTTCCTCCGATTTATGCGTTGTCCGACTTTTCTTTTCGCTTCGCTGAGATTATTAATCGTCGTCGCTGTTTCCTTGGTACTTCTTGAGAAGATCAATGTCGTCCTCGAGGCGAAGATTTGGTTGGGATTTACCATAAATGTGTATGCTTCTCTTGAACCAATCAAGTATGCACTGTACTTCACTACACAGTGCAGTGCGGTATTAAACAGTTTTGGCGATATTGTGTCGCCTTGTCGAGACTCTTCCTATGAATATCGTGATGACGAGATGAAAAAGCCATATATTTGTGCTGCGGTTCTAACAACAGCCAGCAAGTGTTCGAATGCATGACGGCCCACTCCTTGGTCGATGCAATTTGTAGCCACTAACTCCAACGAAATCGGCGATGATATTATCGCGTCCTGGAGCTCTGCCTCTTCTAATGCTTTCCATCGCAACTCGAATTACAGATGCTACAATCCCGTGGGGTTCTTCACCAGTGAGGATTTTGGGGTCCGAGATGGGGATTGTGGAGTAGAAATGATTGGTGTTGAACATTCCCACTATGAACTCCATATCATGGAGGGATGTATGGTAGTTCCGCCTTCATTAATCACTAAGGATAGCGGAACATTACAGCCGCAAAGATTGCGACAAAACCTCTTCAGACCGGATCATTTGCTTGCAAAAAAAAGGTGCTTCCAACAGCTTTTTTTTGCCTGCAGCGATATAGATCTTCCTTCAAAGTTCCTCTAGTGGTAACGAAGATCGATTTGATTTTATTGCTTGAGGAACTGATGCGAATTCGGCACAAGTTTTAAGTCATCAGACAAGTAACACGTAGTCCTTAGCCAAATCTTTCTTTATCTGCCAGCAATATCAGAAGAGTATTTTATTGGAAACATTCTCGTCATGGGCGCGTGTAGCGAAGTGGTTAGAGGCGCCACTGCGAAAGACACGTGGAATCGATCCTCGCGCCCATGGTCCACCAAGCCTTCCATTTCTCCTGGGTTAGCAAATTGATAGTAAACTTGTTTGGGAGGATAGCAGCACTGACTAAGTACACCGGTAGGCCACTGCTAGTCATTGTAAAGGCCAGACATGCATTCAATCACCTCCAACGATGCTTGTGAAGTCCCTCAGGGTTGCACCATGCATTCGACTTCACAAGTATCGTTGGAGGTGATTGAATGCATATCTGGTCTTTTTTTTGCCCTCGTCATACATGAATCGTTTCATTTTTATTGGCCAATAACAAGTGTTCTCTAGCAGTTTATGCATAAATCGAATATTCGCACGAATAAGGCGCTGGTCGGATTAAGCACGGAGTCCAACCCCACTGGTCAAAGAGATGCCATCTTATGTTGGTTAAAATATAGTTAATCCCAACGTGAGTCGTGCCGTTAAGGGCTCCCATATCCATCTCTGTTCTCCTCTCCTGTGAAACAATGAATTCCCATGTAAGAGATGTGCTGCGAACGGGAATCCTGCAACACGTCTGTTTTTTTTATTTGCTTCAACTTTTCAGCATGTCGGTTCTAATTTTCTAAAGTATGAGAGTGGTACATCGATGTAAACAGCTACCTTATCTTTGCGTTAGCGATGATCTCGCTCTCATAAAATCACCCAGGTGAAACGCATAGTTCCCCATTTCTAAAGCTCATGTGGAGAGATTTGCTTTCATTTGAATTTTTTCCACGAGAAATGGAAAGGCTTGCGAGCACTCATTGAAACTCAACGACACAATGATTTCCTAATGCTCAACCGATGTTTTCTGTAATGACTATGTTAAATTCAATTCACAGTTGAGCGACATGCTTTACAACTTATTTATTAATTTCTATATGACCTAATCGCATATATTATGCAGATTAACCTATGCCGTGTTAACAGTTAAAGGAAGGAAGCTGCCTCAACGACAAATGGTGGTCAAGAGTCTCTAAGAATTCCATTCTATAGAATGCCAGCCAGGGAGCGGATAAATACCACGGTGGTAGTGATACCGATCATCACGGGTACAATGCTGGTCTGGCGCCGCTGCAGGCTCACTAAGCAACTTATCCTACCGGGGTCAGGAGTTCGGTACTGTACTTGTCTGGGAAAATTTACTCTCTGAAATATACAAGCGGACGATCTAGCCCAGCTATCTCAGGACCGCAGTGAGAATCGACTCCGCCAGCATTCTACGACACTTAAGATGAAATGAAAATCCACATATAGTAGCAGACACCACACGTAAAAGTTGGAAGATCATAGTGCATGATGGATGCAAGGAAACGAATCGAATGTGAGAAGCGCTGTAATCTGCACACTGGATGTGAAGATGGGTCGTATAAGAAAAATAAGAAAAAAGAACGCCAGTCACATAGAAGGAAGGCTCAAAGATTTTTCTTTTCGATTCTCAACGATTGGAGGTGGCATTCCCCACAAATATCCATTGTTCTTGAGGTCTTCATGCATTTTCTTCATACTTTCTGTACAGTACTTTATAGCGGTCAAATTGTGCACTTACTACGTAGTTGATTAAAAAGGGTGTTGTAACGTCTTCATGTCCTTACAGCTGCACGCATGAAAAACCAGTGATTGAGACACACTCCTCATTCCTTTATATGCCACTATTTGCATTCCAGCACAAAGATTAACTGATAAAACACTATGGCCCATCCCACTAACATTTGCTTTCATTTCACAATCTGAGACTCGTTATCAAACAATTGGCCTCATTTCTTCTGGCGCTGCCACTTACTCCTCACTCAGGAAAAGGGTGGGAGCAGCTTTTTCTGTGTCATAGGGGCGGATAGCACAGTAGTAGTGATGCTCGTCATCATGAGCAAGGTGCTAGTTCGATTCCGCTCCGGGCCAAGCAAGCCTCTCATCTCTCTGAGATCGGGAAATTGGTACCGGACTTCTCTGGAAAAAATCACTCTCTGCAATCCAATTGAGAACGCTCCAGCCCGGTTATCTCAGGACTCCAGGGAGAATTGCTCGACCAGCATTCTACGGCATTCAAGATGAAATGGATATCCTCAAACAGCAACCGGAACCACATGTAAAGTTGGAAGATCTTCGTTGACAATGGATGCGAGGGAACGAATTGAAAGTGAGAAGTGCTGGGATCCGCAAAGTAGACGTGAAGATGGACCACATAGAATAAATAATGAATAAAAATATTTCTGTATGACGCCTGTTCCCCATGTTCCTTCACCAGTCTATTACAGTATATACTCTCTCATTCTCAATATAACTCCCTTTTCATTGGTTTATCTTCGTTTCTTTATTCTGCTGTTCTGGTTCCTATGTCGTTTACATTTGTTGATTGATAGTCTCATCGTTATTGTAGCGCTAATATTGTCACGCATAAAGGTCCAACCACCCGTTTGTGGGTCGCCCTTGAGGTTCAAAAAGCAATTTCCTAGTTCGAAGTCCTGCTCAGTGTCATCCTCCAATCCAGAGAGAACGCCTTAGCTCAGCTATCTCCAGGGCTGCAAAGAGAATAGGTTTGACCAGCATTCCATGCGATTCATAAAGAAAACCAAAACCTCAAGCAAGTGACGAAACAACACTCAAAGTATTAGATCCTTTAGAAACTTTAGTAGATGCTCGCACGAATCATTTTATGTAGAAAAGCAGAGGTTATACAGCAAATGGTTGGTTTCTAATTAAATTTGTACACTTTTACCTGTACTTCGAAAGTAATATTGGGAATACCGACTAAATTCGTCAATTTTCATCCTAACATAAAGGAAGGCCCCATCTCCGATGTCACATATCTGAACAATACTCCAACAACACTGTTCATCGCTACACAGTACTACCACCAAGTAACCGTCATTTCTAACTATGTAGCGATACTTAAGTACAGGCCTTGGTATGATCCCAGCTAAAATCAGACAGAAATCCTATGATAGGAAATTGTAGAAATAAACTGCACTTTTAAGCAAGAATAGGCGTTTTGATTGAACTTCTTCATAAACTTGGCCTTGACCAGAAGTGATAAGGCAACACGCTTTTTACAAACACAGGTTTCCACAAAAAAAAGAACAACAAACAAAAAACAAAGCAAAATATAACATTCTTTACAAAAAAGAGACAGAAGATGTGAAGACAGAACCAAAAATTACGATGACGATGAGCTTGAGGAGAAAACATGGAGAGATGCTATTAGTGAGTAATCGTCGTTATAATAACAGTCATATTGTCGCAACCAGTGCCATCGCCTGCCGTTGTCGGTGCCAAACAATGATCGCAAAGCTAAAAAAAAGTTGATAAACTGAAAGCTAAAGGAATCTAAAGACCACTCAGTGGCACGATGATAACAATGAATCTTTTTCCATCTTTGGCTTTAATCCCTTAAACGAAATATTTTCATGGCATAAGAGGATGTAGAACGTTTCATAACGCATTTGCGTTATCACCATTCACCACTTATTCCAAAAGGTATAAATTAAATATGAGTTTACTTCCACCAATGAAATTCCTGCTTCGAATGCAACCAATCATTTGTTGAGCCAAAACACTGCATCTGGCATGCACTACACCCCAATGTCAGTGATGATAAAGTGGTTCACCAGCTTGAATGAAAGGCACAAATCTTAGGGAATAATTCTGTTTTGTGTTTGTAATCCAGGCGGATTTTATTGCACACAAGTAAAATGCTGTCAAGGATCCCAATACGACTGCACATGAACTACCGATCAAACATCTGTAAGCATATTATGCCTCAATCGCTTAAAAAAAACGGATTTCACTTATTCGGCAAAGTCAAATACCCTAGATAAGAAACAATTCTTTATAGGGAAGGACCGCAGTGTACTGACACTCGGTTTTTGTGTCGAAGTCAGAGCGAAGCATATATTCTCACCGTAAGTTATTGCCAGCAGTGCCTGAAGTTCTGTTTCGCTTTGCGTGTAGTCCCAACCCTGGCCCTCACCGACTTTAACCTATCCATATCACTGCAGCACTGTTTTTCACAAACAAAAAGTTTCGACTAGTTGCTCAAATAGGACCTCATATACTCATCGGATCGAATCATTTTTAGATCAACTGCGTACATGAGTGGTGGCAGAGCACACCCCGACAAATAAAACTAGCTTGGTTTCAAATAATCTTTCCAAAAGTGTAATTTCACAACAGGAGCTAACTGCCAATGTATTAGTATGGTGACGGAACGCCATCTGAGGTGACCACGATAATCTGACCTAATTTGCATTAGACAGAAATCGTGTGAAGTTAACATGTGATACAGACCATCATCCGTTCAACTACACGTCGATTCAAACGACAGCAACCTTCTCTCCTCAGTTATCCGTTTAAGGAAGGTCGGTATTACCAACTACTGATGAACCAATACAATATCATTGCCGAGTTAAATATAAAGTTCATATTTGATGTCGGAGCTTTTAGTTTCAGAATGTGATATTCCACTCATGAGGAACACAGTACTGAAGCCTTCGGAATAGATTCAGACAAAACCAACTTTTGATGAAAAACAAACTCGCGTAATCCTCAGACGGGAAACATGCCGCTTTGGGAGTAACGACGAAAACATCATGAGAACTACCCCTTTATGTCTTCCTTGGAGCACGTGTGGTCGAAGGTGCGCTGCAAGAAAATGGAATCGACCCCCGAACCCCAGGTTCACGAAGTCTTCCATCACTCAAGGGTCTACAAATTAGTAGCAGACCTGTCTGGGAGGATAGCAGCACTAGCTCGATACATCGGCAAGCCATCGCGAGTCATTGTAAAGGCCAGATATGCATTCAACCACCTCCAACGATGTTCACTGAAGTCATATCCATGGTGGATCCCTCACGGATTTATCAACGCCGCGAGCTTTATCCTTTCTTTATATCATTCACATGCAAAATAAGAAAAAAAACCTTTGTGGGGAAAATGGTTTCCAAAGGCTGTCAATATGTGCATCTAGAGACAAATTAGGAAACAAGGACATAGGTTTGTGTTCCAAGAAACCATTTCCAGAGGTTGTGGAACGGTTACAAGCCGGGCGAGGCAAAAACGACGAAGCATGTTTTAAAGAAAACACTTCCAGGAACCCGCGAAATTTTCCCAACATTGCCAATTCAGTGAGTATTGACTTCAAGAAAACCCAGAAATACAGGTTTGTAGAAACCAGTGGCAGTGGTTTAAAAGGTAAAGGATAGAGCTCTCGGCGTTGATCCATGCCTGAGGGATGCGCCATGCATTCGATTTCATTAATTATCGTTGGAGGTTATTGAATGCATATCTGGCCTTTACAATGAGTCACGGTGGCCTACCGATGTATCGAGCCAGTGTTGTAGTCCTCCCAGACAAGTCTGGTACCAATTTGCCGACCCAGGTGAGATGGAAAGCTTGGTGGACCATGGGCGCGGGGGTCGATTCCACATGTGTCGTAGGGGTGTCTCCAACCACTGCGCCACATGCGCCAAATGTATGCGTACCACCAAATGATTTTGCATAGTATGCCAAGTAAACCGAATCTACGAGCGTCTCAGCAACAACTACAGCTAAAACATAAAGGCATAACGATAAGAATTCTCAACCTGTGCTATCAGGTGAGTCCAAAATCCCAACCCTACAAGAAACCTCATTAAAACTCTGGAATTTTCGAAATGAAGAAGAGTGGCTTATGACAATTTGTGAATTAACTGTTACCTCGAACTCAATTTTGTTTCTTAGAGGACGCTAATTTCCATCGTACGTACATATTCGCGGAAGTAGTCTCAGCCCACCAATGAGATGGACGTCTAACACATTTACGAGAATACACATAGATGCGTATGTTTGGAAAAAAAATGACATTTTAACCTTAAGCCATCATTTCAGCTCACTCTATGCTTTGTTAACTGGAAGACAGTAGAATCCACAGAATTCTGCTAAATGTCGACAATTCGACCAATAAACATCTAGTAGAAAATAATATCCCCTATAGTAACTTTATTCTATATATCTTCTGATAGCGATTGACGTCTAGCAAGATGTGACGCAAAGAATTATCTGCAACAACGACAACAACGATAGCGGGTCACCCAACTATAATTAGCATCTATCAGCACAATAAGAGCGGTCACCAACGATAAACAGCATCTGCCCACAAATTGAGGTTGTCAAGAATAAAGGATACGTTGGTATAAACAATATCATATATTTTCAATACCAAATGGAACACAATACTGTTTATGCATTTGCCACCATAATTGTGATATACGAGGACGACGCAAGGGTCAACAACAGTACTCATCTGCCCGCTCCCTGAGGCAGTATAAAAGGACCACGGTCTACTGGTGAAGCTCACATGTCGGAGTTCCTCCCACTCGCCATCTCAGTTCCTGCCACATACCATCTTCTTTCACCTTTTGTCATAGAATTCCTCTACCGTACTTTATTGTAGGGAACCTCTCAGACAGTCACTGATCTTCCCTAGTATACATACTTATCATGACATTGTATCTGTAAGAGTTAAGCAACATTCTGTAGTTTTGTTGTATGTTAACACCTCATTGGCTTAAGCAATGTCTTTTTCGTCACATTCCTCACTACTAATACGGTAGCTATTTACGGTATGCCATTCGCGCCAACAACCATCTGGTCCCATTGGTACCCGCGCTCTTCACCTCTATAGTTCAAATTGCGCTTTTATATGAAAGCTCTTTCTCATATTAACACAATAGCCAATACAACTACTCTCCTCCCTTAAGGTATCTTTTTACTTATTGTCTTACGCTTATTTGGTAATCCTGTTATCAACGCGCCACTTATACTGTTTTTAGTATCTTCTTTTCGTTATTATTATAATATTGGTATAAACGGTTTAATTAGCCAAGTTTGAGATTTACGCTGTGAAGACAACAACCACAAGACCCGCGTGGTAAAGAACGAGCAAATACAATTCGTCTAAGCTAGCAGATCAACACCGTGTGGGGCTGCATTCAAAGGAGCAAGTCAACCGCCAAACTCTCACGTGGAACCCAAGTCGTTGGTTCATTGGGCAATCATAGCCTACAGATCAATTGTAGTACCATAGAACTACGATACCTATTTCTTGACTCTCAATTCACAGCGTCTCAGACGTCAAAGGGTAAATACCTATATTGCAGAACCATCAAATAATAAGGATCACAAAACAGATCCACTTTCGAGAGTCAACCAGAGACAACAACTAGTCGATAGACCGTACACTATCTAATATTTACTACAACCTAATATTCTCACCACTGAACTACTACTATTAAGTAGTGAGCGGACCAACGGTCACTACCACGCAAGTGCATCCATCGCATCCGCCACTATACTATACTAAAATACACAAGTATTACCATTCTACCAAGACCAAATTCTATTTCTAAAACCCATAAAAACACTTATTCTCCTTTCTTCGTTGAAGCTTATCGAAAAACCAGTATCGTCGCAAATGTTCCAGCAATTAACGCCTTTCTACACCTAACTAAACCTTACATACAAACCTTACGAGTTATTTACAATGGGGAACACTCGTATTCTGCTGAATGATATCTCCGTCGTTCAATCTTTGACGTTGATAACAACGATCTGGACAGAAAACAGCGAAGAAATACGTTTCATGAGTATTCAGCAACATAACTCTGGTATTGTGAGAAAAAATTTCTGTGGTAGCAAAGATCTGTTCACTCCATTGGTTTCTATTTAAATTAATAAGTTACAGTATAAGATGAGGTACGTAGTTCTAGGCTTGGAAACGGCAATTATTTTCGCATTACACTCATTAAGATCAATGCATGACGTCTGTGTTAAGAAATCCCTTAAGAATCAAGGGGCAAATATGCGATGAGAAACCAGTAAAAGTTTCACAATGAAATAACTTTCAAATGCAAAGGACAAAAAATTACAAGCAATATAAATCTAACAAACCTCTGAAGAAATATCTACACATGATTTTCCAAGCTTCAACCGCTCCCGGACAAAATCAACGACCTGTTGAGAATTAAGTGAGTTCCTGAAAGAAACCTGGGCAATGTTTCTAAACGAATCAACAGAAGTAACAACCGAGAGTGATCAACACAGAAACACTTCAATTACGCCAAAAATCCCAACCACTCCTCTTTCGATAGAACAAGCTGAGAGACAGGCAAAACGAAGGACCCGGATGGTGTGGTGGTGAAGTGCGCTACTCCCCGGAAAGGACAACAGCGCGCGTCCGTTCCCCACCGCAGACACCTGCGGTCCGGAGTTTTGCAAATACCTCGGCATTATATACGAGATCTATTATATCGTTCCGATATTGTTCTCGGTTACATCATGTGAAATACCTCAGAAATGTACTCAGAATTTTCGTGAAAAACTGACTCGTTGCGGTCGTGTCTTCATATTATTCAGCTTATTTAATTTATATTTTTAACAGCAATCGCAGAAGGCTTATTTGTCGAACTGATATATATGGGTTGGACTTAACCTTTTCCCACAAAGTTCCTGTCTTCGAGTCTTATAGAAAAGCAGAAGACAGAACGTTTTCTATGTTCTCGATTTCACACAAGCACGTGTGGCGCAGTGGTCGGACGCGTCCTGCAACACACACGTGGAATCGCTCCCCACACCCATGGCCCACCAAGCCTTCCATCCCTCCGGGGTCGGCAAATTAGTATCAGACTTGTCTGGGAGGATAGTAGTACTGGCTCGATACATCGGTAGGCCACTGCGAGGCATTGTAAAGGCCATATATGCATTCAATCACCTCCAACAGATGCTTAATGAAGACGAATGCATGGTGCATCACCAAAAGGGATTGATCAACGCCAAAAGTTTTATACTTTATCCTTGACTTCGTTGTGACGAAACCTCTTATCTGTTCGTTTCCTTTCGGTCCTGTTGTCAAATCATAGATCATGTTCTATAAGACATTATGCGAACATCTATTGCTTTCTGTTGCTGAAAAGAACACTAGGAACAAAGTCGTTCTTTCACTAAGTCCAGCAAAGAACCCTCTTCAATTGGAGATTATACAGTTCATGTGATTTGAAAGTGACATTGCAATCAGTGGAAAACATTTTTACTGGAATGATCTACTAAGCCCCTAAATCTAGTGCCATGCAAAGGGCTATTTTAATAATATAACAAACACACCAAATTCCGTCACAAGCCAAGACAAGAAATTCATCACTCGGTTGTAACGTCTCCACCCTCACGTCTGGTAGTGCACTGCAAAAATCCAGGAGTGACTTAACTTTTTACAAAGATGTTCAAAGAAGTACAGTTAAAAACATAACTGACGTAAAACTAACGTGATCATTTGATCTCGCAATGGCAAGTCAAAATTCTTTTTGTAGCTGTGATCGCCAAAAGCACGCGACAAATTCAAACCTCCGTTCACTCTTCAACAGCGGGTACAAATCTTGTTACACCTCAATATCAAATGAAAATCCAAAACTTGTACACACCGCCCGTCTTCATTGACATATCCACCAGCGTTTACAATACGCTTCTTCTCAATATCATCCTCCGGCTTGTGATCGATTGAAAGATCAACTGCAATACCACCTCGACAAAGTACTGCTCTTGAATCGCCAGCATTCGCGACGATGATCTGGAAAGAACCTGTTAATCCCAATGTATTTAGGCTGGACTACATTGAAAATGAAGTCTCCTAAAGATCTTAACATGTACAGAAAACCATTACTGATAATACCGTATTGATCCAATAGTTCCCTGAACATCAATAACTAATGCCGCCAAAGTGCAAAAACATGTTTTATTTTCAGTCGCGAACTTCATTACTAAGATGTTCACAGAAGCACTACCTTCACAATAAGAAAGACGAATGATAAACGTCTACAAGAATTGCACAGTATGTTCTATATGAAGCAAACGATGTCGACACTTGTATTGTAACGGTTGGTTGTGAATACATAGTAAAACAATCCAGAAACACGTCCAATAGCCTAACAAACCCTTTGTTTATTCATGAGGCATACACAAGCCGTCGTACCAGAATCTTCCCCGGGAGTTTCCAGTCCACCAGGAATATCCACATCCTGTAGAACACTACAGTTAATTTCCTTATTTTTCTTTAGAAACACAAGACAACTAGCTGTTAAGCACATGTAAGAAAAAAACAGAAATTTCAACAGCAAAAGTGAGATTCCTCGCCTCGCAATCATCATCAGACTCCATGTCATCTTCATCATCGCACTCCTCATCTTCAGCTTCTACGTCTGGTTCGGTGAAATCGGAATCATCTTCAGATTCTTCATCGTCCCTTAACTCACGAAGTAGACATAAAGTAGTAACGAACCTTTTGTCAATCGCTAAGATTTCGAATTTAAATTTTTTGGTGACTGCATAACACACCACCTGCAAAAAAAGAACTTAAAGAGTGACCAACTATGAATCTATGAGAGCTTCATTGGCCCAGGAGAAAAACGGATGCAAAAACGAGTGATCTCTTAATTGGCTATTGTCTTATATTGTGTTATTTACAAGCTTTCTACCAATTACTTGTCCAATTGTTCCAATTTTCAGTATGTGGAGGAGGTAACCTAGTGCTTAGTGATGCTATCGATCAGAAAGCAAAGGCGCTAGTCCAATCTCCCAATGCTTTCCTCTAACACATGCGTGAAAGCCTTAGTTCGGTTACCTCCGAAATTGGAAAGAGAACTCTACGACATTCATACAGATGAAATCCTCAAGCACCAGCTGAAGTAACACTCGAAATGTTTAAAGAGCACTGTGGATGTTGGATACGATGAAACGAATCGAACAGTAGTGGAAGAGATGTGATGACGAGTCATGTAAAATAAAATGCAAAAATAAATACTGGTTCTATATAAAGATTCTGCACGACCACGACTTCCATCAATTTCCTAACATGTTGCGGTACTCAACGATAGAAACCGGTAAAACAATTCTTTTATCCCGCTATATGCGATGTACTCACAGTCGCCCACCAGTCATACACATGTCAATGTCGCTAGTAAACCACTTTAATTACGCATGACAGAGGTTATCCTATGGAGTAACCCAATAGAAAGAATAGATATTGTTCTCTATAACCACACCCCGACATTTTGTTCCTGACATAAAAGGATATAACTAGGCAGGTATGTTTCAACATTAAATTCATTGCCGCTAAACAATTTACGGCTATGAGTGAAGCTGCTGAGTTCGATTTTGGTTTCTCTGACTTAGGTGCATGCAAAAGTTACATAACACTCGAGACCTGCCAAGAAAAACCAGACCTAGAATTGTAACCTTAAAGGATATGAATAATCTTAGTTGAATAGAGTAATAATTCCGGTATCCTCCCAACGGTTTACCGCCTCAACGTGGCTGGGAGGTGTTCCTGGGTGTCGGACTTCGATGTACAGTGGGGCATTCATCCCTTGGCAGGGTCTCCCAAGCTGAGAAGGAGTCCGGCGTTTCCATCAGGAAGCCTAGTTAGGAGTAAACCAATACCAGGATCCACCACCGTCCTGGTATTAAAGTAGCATGCTAGTAAATCTTCCTCTGATCCACAAAAGCTGCGACTGCCCGTGGTGGTGAAGACCTGGGGCAGACTTTGGCCAAGTTGACCTCGGGACTCCAGGGAACCATAATGGCTTAATCAGCAAATCTCCGAAAAGTCGAGATTATGCTTGGGTCCGCACAACCAGTGAGGATGGGCCATTCAAGAGACAAGAGAATAATCCTGGTATAACTTATAGCGCCATTAAAGCCAGATTTCCTGTACTCCGTTAATTTTTAGAGGTGTCTCCATCAATAGAAACATCTCGGTCATAACGCCAATGTACTGACTAGATCTTGATTTCACTTCTATTGTATAATATTAAGGAATGCCAAAGAACAACCATCTCGTATTGCATAGAAATCAAGCCCAATGAACATTCAATATGTCAGCAGAAGAGGATATGAGTCCTTTACGACACAGCTTCGTGCATACACCAGCTCGGTCACCTCAATTGATGGCAGTCAGAGAACCGAAACGAATAAAAGTAATTTCGTGGTCTAAATAACTTGTGAGGACAAGATAAATCGGAAAGCACATTATACAGCTATATACTAAAAAATAAAACTTTTTACGATACTGAAGCTCAACACTTACACGATGCAGTCATCAGACACGTCCTTTTTATCAACGGTGGTAGGCATCTTCTTCTGCTTCGTCTTGATAACGGGTGTTATCATTTCAGTGTCTTCAACATCACCTCCTTCCCTCGAATCTTTCATAGACGAGTTCTCTACATTGCTAAAACTGCAATGTTGAATAGAAAACAACTGTAATAATAGTTACAATTGTAACAATGGTAGTGACAACAATAATAAATGACAACAACCCTTCTCACGTGATAATAAACATTTGGTATCAAACATACGCTTTGTTTAAAGCGAATTCATATATAAGAACTTCACCGGGAATTTCTTACTTCGCAGGTGTTGCTGGATGAGTGCATTCACAATCCGACTCAGTATTATCTCCACCATCCTCTGTGATCAACTTGTTCAGTAGACTTCCTTAACCATTCCACTTGTGGAAGAAAAAATTGACGCAGTTTTAATGGAAAATTTAGCCGGCTAAACCATTTTCTTGTACTGTGCAACTACATTCCCAAACATCATTCTCGTACAGCCATTCGAAATTCCCACTTAAGTTAGACCACTGGAAGAACTATTAAATTTTCCTTAGAGGAAGGAAAACTGAGTTGGTATACAACGAACGGTTTAACTAACTTTAACTAACTTACCATTTCCTTCAGTTTTTGCACGCTTTGCTGGCTCTTGTGTGGGCGATTGGCTTTGACGTTTACCTTTAGTGCACTTATCATCATTACATTCCTGTTGATTGTTGCAGCACTTAATTAAAAACTTTTTAGTGAGCACAAAAAGCATTAATTACTTAAACAATGTACCCTACATACTTTAGTAGATATTGATTTCGGTGGGTTTCTCCCAACAACATATCCTTGCCTATAAAACCTGAAACGAAAACTCAAACGAAAGCTAGAAAGAGAGACGTCTCAATATGACTAATAGGTAAACAAAATATTTTAAATGAAAATTAGGACAAGAAAACAAAAATTAATTGCCAAAGACACTTAGATTGTACAGCGGTACTTTAGAATGGATTAGAACTTTCAGATATTGCTCGATTTCTGTTCCGTTAATGTCACATCTAATAATCAACACGACTATAAAACTCATCACCTAGTCAAAATTTCTTCTAGAGGTATCGAGCTCTCTTCAATTGTTTGTATTCTATCACATTCATCTGAACTATTGTCGGCATCGTCACCTCGTTCAGAAGTACCACTCCCTTCCTTTGCCATCTTCTGAAGTTAAAATAATTACGGTGTTCTCGATTAGTTCATGAAAGTGGCATAAACATGAAACTGCTCAAAGCTTACCTTCAGTTGTTTCATTACTTCTTCGGACCGTAAAACGTCATCGAAGTCAATAAATATTTGTTGCAAAGTAGCGACGAAGTCATCACTTGCCCAGAACTCTCTAGAATAACCCATTTAAAATTCATAGTAGGAAGCAGATCAACAGTATAATTCCTCGACTTATATCACATTAAGCTATTTCCCACATGTTGCTCTCTTGCAGGACATGCTTTTCTACTAGGTGACTAATACACCGCCAAATGGAAAAAGTTCGCGAAGGTTGGGTCAACCAAGCTCGTCATCCTTCGCGAATCCTCACTTGCATACACTACATTTATGCCGACGATGAATAATAAAACGATGAGTGGCTCTGAATGATCGCTCAATTTACTGCACAAATAAAATATACTACTACTTTAGCATATCTTTAACCGAAACATGAAAATCAATAAAATTAAAGAAGAGCACGAATCCGTGCTCTTTCCTTCTTCCATCGTTCCGCTTGAAGCACTTTCAACATGTCTCAGGTCCAGTTTCTTCGATGCCAGAAGTTAGACACCGAACATTTCTTCATTACGCCGAAATAGATTGAACAATTTAATCCGCAAAGAGTTAATGTAACACTTCGGAACAAAGACGAAGTAGGAAACGGTGCTGTTTTTTGCAAACACTGAACACGACAACCCATCACGTGTAGCTTCTCGGCACAGATGCTGCGCATCGGCATTGTAGACGTCAACCGCGCGTTTCGCGAACGCAATATGCAACATTCCGTCATGTTCAATTGTCGAAAAGGCCGAAGTCTCTTCCAAAACAATGCTCAACAATAAATAGTTTCGACAATTTGCCAGCAGCGACCAGTGGTCGGTCCGTTGTAAAAACCTAGATCAATAGCATGACATGAACTGTAGATCTAATTCGCATTTTTTCCACTTCCTGAAAAAGAAGTTCCCCAACGAGCTAGCACTCACTATGTTTCACGACCTCAAATCGCAAATCGAATCATTCTTTAAGGCACAGTGGCTTCAGTTCTGAGAAAATAGATTTCGATGAAAGTGAACGGAAAAAATGTAACTGTTGCATTGCATCTCTTCAAGGAACCCTAATTATAAAAGAAACATAAGAGATATTCTTGGTTTTTAAATAATACTGACATGTACAGAAAAAAACTTTCAGACTCATAGACGTTTTCTTGAAATGAAAGAACACAAACAGGAATAATAAATGAATTTCAATACCACCTTGATTTGTGTTACTATAAATAGCAAAATCAGACATTACCTTTCCTTAAAATAATCGGGCAACCTTGAGGCAGTGTATCTGGACACTTCATCTCCACCGTGGCCATCGTAGACGGCGAACATGCTCCATTCACCGTTCAAGTCAATGATACAGTTATGAGCGTCCTTAAAATCCAAACTAAACACCACGACGATATAGCACCAAACGTACAAATTTGCTGTTGGCCAGTTGCGTTGATACAAAGACCTGGTTAAAGATCAGATCTACGACAATCAATCGTTAAAGTAAAAACAGAAATATTGTTAAAATGCAGCTCAATTTTGATTACAGAAATGAAAATGTGATGATTAATATCGTAAAGTTTTCAGCTGAGTTAAGTGTGGTGATAAGATTTGCTGGTAGAAAATAAGATTTAAAGGACATAATTCAGACAAAATAAGCGCCTAGGACTGGCACAAGCGCTTAAGACTGCTCGGAACACTGAAATGAAATTGTCAATGTCAATTTAAAAGGTATATTTCGATAGCATTAAGAAAAGCATTATTGGTAAAGGAAAAAAATATGAATAAATGTTAAAGTATGGGTGACTGCCGATAGTACCGTTAGGGTAAAAGGGCTGGCTGGGAGAAAGACAGAGAATGAGCCTCGGTGGTGCAATGGGTAACACGTAAGCCCTCGGAAAGGCTGAACGCGGTTTCGAATCTGGCCTGGGCCAAGTTTTGCAGATACCTTAGCTCATAGTGGCTGTATCTAACATTACACACTGTCACGTAAAGTATTAATAGACAGTAAATAAAAAGTTAACCATTAAGGAAAGTATTTATCCGACGTCTACGAATCACTCACCTCTTGCTTGACGCGCCATCCTTGCATGCACGTCGCACCGTACGTCAGCCCGTTGCCCTGACCGCTTTCTGTCTCCTTTTCTGTCACAGGCTTATCCAGATACGCTCCCATTATATATACGTATAGATAGTACAGTTGCCAGTAAATAAATTAAGAGTAAATTAACACGGGTTCCATCCCAAATACACTAAAACCACTTAGATAAGCTATACGAATCGTTATTTACTGAAGCTGCATGTCCAGAAAAAACTGGAAGCCGTCAAACAAAACAAGCACAAGAAATCTGGAGACTTAAATAAACAAGCAGCACGCAGCAAACGAAAGACAGTTAACGAAAATTTGAACCGGTTCGCATCGGTGGCATCAAACGGCTTTTTGCGTATGTACCGCATTCGTTTTCGCTCTAGGACCATCACTACACACACCCTCGGACATCTAGTCACGGACATCCACTTCAGATCCTTTGTGGTTTTAATTTCACATCCAGATATCGTTGATTGTTTGGTTGTGTTCATCACCAAGTTGATTGCTGTGGAAGTTAATCACCTTACGAAACTGAGTTTAATGTCGTTCTTATCGTTCTGCGCTATGTTAAAGCTCTGGAAATGCTTCAGCGTTGTATCTTACAATATTCATTGGCGAGTATTCAACAATAAGGCCGTTGTTGTGCTTAATAAGGGTTATCAAAGAATTATATCGCATTCATATAGTTATTGCTTGGAGATTTCCTTACGTCTTTAGTATTTCCGGCAATTCATTGGCAGGCGCGGACACTAGTAATGTTGTGATTGTGAAGCCAAAAACTATGCCTATTTGCGGTCGGTTGCCTATCGTATTATTCTTTAACGTAGAAAGACAAGCTCATTTAGGTGCATATGGGATTCGCTGTTCGTTCTCGTTGATAGCAAACATGACAAACAGGACGGACTTGTAGGCGCTTATGGGTAGAGCAAGAATTTTCAAACCGACCGTGGTTTTACCTCGGTGGTAGTGATCAGTACCTTCTTGGATTGTTAAGCTAAAACGAGACTGGTAGAGAGATTTATTCAGCTAACGTTTCGACGTCTTCATCTTCATCAGAGCTGATGGCCCGAATAGATGGTTCACAGTTGTTCGTCTTCTCGTTGTGGCGTCTTCGTCGTCGTGCAGAGACGGACATCGTCGAACATCGACTCGAACCAATCCGGCATCTGAAGAAGACGAAGTCATGGAGACATTAGCCGAGTAAATCTCTTTGTAACCTCGTGTTCGGTTAACAATCCATGAAAGCATTGCTTATGTGTATATTCTTTGGTATTCATTCCTTCTATTGTGATTGGTCGTAGCTACTTCCCATTTAACCGAGACCGGTGAACCTACTTTTTTCGGTCTTCTGGCGAAAAACTGTGAGAATGAGTGGAATTGAACTAAAGGAGTGATGTTCTTCGTGTTCCTAGGGCAGACGGTTCCGAGTTCTTGCACACAACAGTGACGATTCGAGACTTTGATGGTGACCACTTGAATTAGCCAGCGATTGATAGAAATACATTGTTACAAAGGTAGACACTCCGTTTTCTTCCTTCTCTTCTGTTTAGAAGTACATGGATTACGAACTGTCCTTGTTTAAGCTAGCTCGAAGTTAGTATCTCTTCTCCAAATGCAATGGATGACTTCTGAGCGATTTCGACTTCCTTGGAGCCTAGACGTACTATACTATAGCGTATTTTATTATTCGATTGATATTTCCTAACACCAATGAAAATTCTATTCAAAAATTAGTCTAAGAATCTACGTATTAAGGAAAGCCCATCGTTTAACTGGTTAGGTGGCGTAATGACATCAGTGTGTTGTTAACACACTATGAGCTATGAACCTAACTCAGATCAGAAAATCAGTGAGATAAGGCGCCATGTCGAATGTGGTAGTGAGGCATTCTCCATTTCCATTAATTTTTGGATTTTTAAAACTAATCCGGAACGCTTTATAAGATTTTCCCGCTGACGTTTTTGGTTCCTTGGAACTATCACCTCAAAAATTTCACCGTTAATGTGCCTTTGTGCCTAAAGTGTGCTTAGAGGAGTACTTGGTCGAGTCTTCGACATCTCATTCTCTCCAGTGTCTTTCGAATTGGTATGTGGATTGTTATAGTCTTCCTATCCGAAGAATGTACTAGCGCTTACGGTGCCACAACTGCGAGAATTGTTGTCTGTTCTTACGATTCAGATTAGATTTTATCGTCGTGGGTCTTACAGTAAGTTGAATATCGTACTTATGATAGGGTTTTTAGAAAAAATGATTTAAAGTTTTCAGAGATATGTCTAAATGCCAGCACTCGTAGCATACGGACGTAAATGGAACATCGCCAGTGATGATTTCGTCTTTCCTGAAATAACTGAAGCACTCGCGCGATTGTTATGGTCAGCTTCAAAACACTACCATTTTTTTCTTTTTTTTTCACATTTAATCTCACTTCCTTAGTCACTACTTTCTTGGATTAGAAGCAGTTTGCTGCTAAGGCTAGTGTTACTATCTGCTGCCTTTTTTTTTCACTTGTTTGAGAAAATGTGGGTTTTTGGCACTCAAATCCATATTACCGTGTCTAAACTTGTAGTTAAAATTTTTGACAGGAATAGAAATCTTCGAATCTGCATGTCTTCGCCAACGAAACCTAAGTTTACCTGTTATATAACGGAAACACTGTAACGGTCTCGGGCCCACAAATCTCCCGATGGTGTCCATAGCGAGCTGGTGGTTGAAGGATTTCCTACTTACTTGGATACTTGGATGGCCTGGGTTCACTAGTTGTACGGGTTCCAACATAATTTCTATTTTCTCTTAGTTCTGATGGTTTGGCTATTGTGGTTCCTTGAAATCACGGGCGAGCCCAGCCTAGCCAGTCTGCTCCAGGTCGTCACCACCGCTTGCAGTAGCAGCCCTTGTGGATCAGAGGGAGATTTGCCACCATGCGACTTGTTTGGTACTAGGTCGATGGTGGATCCTTGTATTGGTTTACCCTTAGCCGGGCTTCCTGATGGAAACGCTGGACTTCTCAGCTTCAGAGATCTTGCCGAGAGCATGAATCCCCCGTTGTACATCGTAGCCGGACAACCAGGACCTCCAAAACACGATTAGGAGCTCAACTGTTCTGATGAAGGATTTCTCACCAAGTAGTTCACGAATTGCTGGTGCCGAAAGTCTGCTCGCCATCCATTCCGTCCAGATGACGCCCAGTTGTACGACTTTTTCATGTCTAAGTTCAGGGGTCTGAAACTATCCCATTAGGTTACCCAGTTTTACCAGAAGGGTGTTGAACCGCCGAACTGCGTCACTTTCGGTGATGACGGGTTGTTTCCAATCCAATTTTAGTGCTCTCATCTCCAGACAAAGTTGCCGAAACAATGTTACACATTTCATTAATGGTTCTCTAGGCAGGGCTGATGTTGATGTTGTGAGCCATTTCAGTGACTTTACTTCAAATCCAACTTTCTGTAATGAATTTTTTGTTTTCATTCCAACTGTCACTATTTTTAGAATGGTAGAGCATCTATTATATCGCAAGGGGGTGATTTCATTTATCTTCAGATAAATAGTTTGTCGACTGAAGTAGATTGAGACACTTAGTAACTGCTCCATGTATTTTACAGTCTACAGATTTTTTGTGACTCTACATGTTGTGTAGCAGCTTGGAGTATTGAAAAGTCTAGGTAACAATTTTGGACGATATGAGAGAAACACCATTCATTTTCCTCTTGGCAGTTTATTCTGCCACACTTTTTGCATCCATGCGATAAATGCATTGTAATTAAATGTTTTGCTGGGAGTCGGGCGAGAAAAGACGTATTTTGCATCTCTAGAACAGTTTCTGTGACAAGTCTGTTCTTGTGATTTGGTTTTTACGGAAGATCTTTGCTGAAGAGGAGTGTGCTGTCCTTGCTGTACTCGTTCACTGCAGTTCGACACCTCGACGACAGTAGGATGGTAAACCGTTAAATGCTAGAAGCACTGTAGTATAGATCGAATTTAACAGAAAAATTGTTTGTAAAATGGTTAGAATGTCACCAGTATGTTTTAACATCATGTCTTTGGCACCACTACATAATCACATTACTCTGTCGTCATGAAAGTTCAAATAAGTGGAGCGGTTTGTGGAAATATTCATTTGATGGAAAACAAAGCGACGAGAACAGCAAAAATAATAGTGACGGGATGCACAGTATTTTTTACGAAGTAAAGGCGTTTTTTGTTTTCCAGGATGGTGATTGCCTCGGTAGTTTCCATACTTCATTTCCCATTGGAATGTTCTGGGAAAAATATAACGTTTTTTCTTCTAATATTGTTTATTATAAATGCGGTTACTGTCATTTTAGGTATGTCCTTTTCACTACCATATGTGCGTTTAATATATATTAAGTGCGTTGTTTTATGCAGCATTTTGTTACACCTAACGTCGTTTTAACGAATTTTGTAGCGTTTCTAACTGCTGGGATTTCATCCAGAGGATCGATTATGGCCCAACATCCGAGGCGGCATGTTGCTTCCCTGTTGTACATAAGGCTACCCGTTTTTGTTGTTGAAGTTATTCTGACTGTTGCGTTCACCATTAGCGTTTTTCGTGAGTTTTTGTACATTTCACGTATTTCCTTGCGTAGTTTTTTCTTCGTATTACGTGTCGATTTCGGTCCATATTAACTGTTTTCCCGAGGGTGTCAACTAATATATTCCCTTTTTACTTTATCAGCTTCTGGTAGCATCCCGTAGTTTTAACCCAGAATAAATTGATGTTGTATACTAAACGCTAAGGATTATAGGGATTTTTTTATTTTTTTTCCATATCATGAGAAGAAATGTCGTTTAGAACCGGATCCTCCTGACGCAACATGTCATTTTTCGAATATTTTAAAAGTGGTGATTAGTTTGGAGTGGGTACTGATTGCGAGTGTCCTCTTTGGAGTGTTCATCGTATTTAACCCTAACAATGAAGATGATATTGAGGACAGTACGACCATTGCACGAAAGACGTGGTCAAGAAGGTTCAAGATTGTAAGTCCTTTACTCTGGTAATATGTTAACACTTTTTGAGGAGAAGTTTTGATAAGCTTATCAACAATCGCTGAACTCAAAGGAGAGATTTGTTTTGCGGCGGCACCCATTAATTTGCAGTAACCACAGCTCGAGATAGAAGTCTGAAGTCGAAATCCAAGCAGGGCTTCTCTTTGAGGTCATTTTTTTCATGCCTTCTCGTTTGCTTTCCTGGGTTCTAGGACAATGATCCATTTAACCAACATAGGCAGTTTTGTTCTCGAGGAGGACATAACAAAGCCGACTGTAGGCGGAAAGAAGTATTCGAAAAAAAAGTGCTGCCGAAGCTTATACCTTCTTTGACACTTTTACCGTTTATTTTGCCCTTAAGTTAGTGGATATTTCTCAGAATCTACTTTAGATCTACTAATAACTGTTTGATCGTCATATTTAAGTTCACGATCTGTCGAAAAGCGCCGATGCGTGACGCCATCGAAGACTTTGCAAATCTCATGAGCTCCTTTTTCGCTGACATCGACCTTGTATTCAGTGATGTGGTAGCTGGATTATTCCTCGTAGCACATTCACCAACCAACGTTTATCCGCCAATTATACCAGCAAATACTGGTACGAAAGTATCATTCTAATGAGGAAATAGTGGCCGTTTTTGAACGACAGTTTTGAAATGCTTTAACCAGTATAGATGCAACCTTGTCAACAAAAATAAGAGATACTTTCCTGGATTATTAAACTAACACGAGAATGATAAAAAGGTTTATTCGGCCAACGTTTCGATTTCTTCTTCTTTCTCAGAGCTGATGATGTATGATTACCAACTTCATGTGAGTGTGAATTAACTTCATGTGTTAATAATCCGCGAAGGTCTTGGTTGTCAGTGGCGAGGTTAAACGATGGTAGGTTCGAGAAAGAAGGGTACTAGAATCCAGTTTTTTTTTTAAAGTAAGGTAGAATTCTAAAATGCAACCGCAGTGGTGCTCGAATATTTGCAAAACTAGGCTCGCAGCCCAGCTTTGAACCCATGGTTATCCTTTCCCGGAGCTCACTGGTTACCCACCACACCACCGAGGCAGTTTGCTTTTCTCTCGCAGTTTTTTTTGACGGTGCAATCAGCAATCACTCATCAACAGGGATGATCTGAAGAACATAAATTTGGAATGAATCCAGTTAGCTGAAGGTACAGTCGAAATGACAATGTTTAACTTTTTGTTTATTGCCTTTTACTTTTTTGGCAGTGTACTATGTGAAATGGAACCACAATAATGCTGAGAAATTTGCAAAACTCGGAACCCAAGCCAGTTTCGAACACGCGACTACCATTTCGGAGGACTCACGTGCTACCTACTTCACCACCGAGGCCCATGCTTCGCCTTTCTCTCGGCCATTTTTTTACTCTTGTGCTACCAGTAATCACCCCTCAATGGGATAGTTAGTTAACACAAAGAAAGCAAAGTTAGAAGTGCAACGCAAAGATTTCGGAGGTAGAGTGTAGTGGAGCCCCTGGAAGGGGTAATAATGGGTTCAGAGCTGACTTGGAGTCCGAATTTTGCAAATATCTTGACATCATTGTGGTTTACTGTGGACCATCGAATCGGATCATCGGCTCTGATGAAGACGAAGAAATCGAAACGTTTGCCGAATAGGTCTATTAACTTCGCATAAGCTCATCAATTTAAGTACATGCTGATCATTGTGCTTGTATTTCACATAATAACCTGCGAAGGAAAATGTAATAGGCAAATGTAATGTAAAGAAATGTAAGCAATGTAAAGTTCTTAATTTCTGCGAACGCGAATTCTTCAAAGACCATTTTGCAGCGGTTGTTGAAGATTTTCTCTGTCAGCAGTTGATGAAATTCTTGAGAAATGGTTATCATTGTTAGCGGAAGGTCCGTTGAGTACAGTGAATGGAGCAGCATTTCTTAACTCAACTCACTCAACTTTTGCAACGTTATTTGTTGTAGTCGATCATAGCAGTAGTCGAGGATTGGACACATTTCTAGCCCATGACTGGGTACAGACGCTGCAGTTTTTGTAAACTTTCTTCGATTTTGTGACAGGAATTATTTACTGTAATTGTTTTGGGGAAATCTAAAATGTATCGTTAGATAATTTCATTTATCGAAAGAGAAAATGTCAACCATCTTTTTATTCAAATTCGACTTTGGCGGATGTTCAAGAGCCCTTGCGGAACATCGCCGATTGTCCTACAGGGTCCAATTTTGTCGTAAGTCACACTGCAGCAAAAAATGCGTAAAAGAAGCGCGGAAAAGGTTTCGCTTTCGACATCGATCTCGTTGCCATTGATTTAATTCATACGGCACACATCTATCGAGCTTTTTCACTTCCGCATTCCTTCAACGAGTGACTGTTGGGTCGTTAATGCTGAGTTTTTCTTCATCCTGTCAAGTAGTTTTTGGAGTGACAATTCTGTCATCAGCTTCCACCAATCAACCAGCATCGATTTCTTGTGTGCGTACTAAGCCTTCTCCTTCGTGAGGGTACATATCTTCGGTACGGAACTTTTTGGACTACATGCGTGGTAGACGGCCTATAGCCATTCTCTGCTTCTAAAGCATTTCGACTCACTTCCACTGTTTTATGTTCGTGTTTGAACTTATGAACTTGAGCACGCGACTTTGGTAATTTAGGGCCATCATTTTGATCATCCTAAAGTTGTTATGAATTAAGTTTCCGGAAAAGTATTGTGTATCGCATTGCTGAGCAAAAGATAATCTTTAAAACCATACATATATGGCTAATGCATGCAAAGGGTTTTTTGCGAAATTTCACAAATTTGATGGCGACGAAAACGGTCATTACTTTAGTAGGATGTTCGTGACTGTAGTGGTACGTGAATACTGTTCAGCGTAACTTACAGAGCTTCCTTGTTTCATAGCGTTCTCTTAGTTCTTTTCAGCTTGCCAGTCCTGGATGACAGTCGAAAATGCGTTCCATTTTCAATATTTTTCATCATGTGTTTATGGGTGGCCAGCGTATTTATTGCACAACTGTGGCTTCAAATCTATTTACCGTCTGGTACGAAAGTTGCAGTGCTGCGGAAAGCTTCGTTGCGACCAGGTTGGTGTTCTCTACAGGAATGTGTCGCTAGAGGAAAATGGTGTGACAGAACTTCATTTTCCGAATCTCATTCTCTGTACAAATCCCACACTTGCTAACTCTGATCCCGTATGGTTGACTTTCCTAGGAGATACAGCATATATCGACGTAAAAACAATAAGGTAATAATGTGGAGCGAAATTCACGCTTCAAAACTGTAAATGATGTGATTAAAAAGACACAACGCTTTTCTTCTCAGGCTAAGCGTTTCAAGTTTGAGAAAAGATTGAATTTTCATTACTTAGGTTGCGTTTTATAATGGTAGAAATATATGATGTACTTCCACGTAGTTTTCGGTCATAGTGACCACTTTTGGAACAAATTCGAATTGAGTAATTGAGCGAAGATTGTGGTATTCTGTAACAATGTCGTCCCTTTTTGTTTACTGCTTACTGTTTTTTTAAGGACAGGGTATTCTGTGAAATATAACCATAGTGATGATGAGATATCTGCAAAAATCCGAACCGCTGATGTCTGCATTGAACCCAGTTAGATTGAAGCAGTGGCATAAATCACAGTGTTGTCACTTTTTATTTGCTGTCACTGCCTACCTATAGGTCAATAAAACGATTAAGAGAAAGGCGAAAGGAAGTACTGGCATGGTGTGGTGGTGAACGCGTTAGCCCCGGAAAGGGCAGTGGCATGTTCGGTCCCCACCGCAGACACAGAGCTCCAGAGTTTTAGAAATATCTCAGCATCTTTATGGTTATATTCTGTAACATTTTAAGATAAGACTGAAGGTGTGTATTAATCATAAATATTAAGAACTCGTCTTCGCGCTAGGCTTTTCTTAGACTGTCTTAGATGTCTTGCTATGTAAACGTGCCGTTTTCCTCCATTCTCCTGTTGATCGAAAGGAGACCCACTCCCACCACACCCAGTCATTATTATTGTATTAAAGCACGGTACTCGTAAGTAATATAACAGATTGGTTTTGCACTTTTCTTTGAAATCTTGAAAATCTTCTTTTAGATTATGATTGTCGAAGACAATTGCTGTTTTTGCAATGTAGCAGCCTTTACACTGTCTACCGAGAAGAAAAATATCGACATTTTCTTCGTATCGTTCCATAATGAGCTGTATGAGGTAATTGTCCATTCTAATCTTTCAACTAATTTAATTAATCTTGATGCAGTTTAATCTTTCAATGTTATATTTGCCAATGATTATTAAGAGTTAGCTATTAGTGTTCCGTGGCCCTCTTTCTTCGGAGGAGGTTGATTATTCATACAGGTTACAAACTGCTTATTAAATTACTTATCGCAACAATTTCAGGTGCCTTTTGTAGTGTTTGCTGACCATGAGACTCGCAGCATTGTCATAACTATTCGTGGATCTTGCTCACTGGTGGATCTTGTCACTGATCTTTGCCTAGGTTCTTTGTTTTCGTTTAATTCAGTGAAGTTTAGTATATTTAAACGGAGCATATTAGAGGTGTTATATATCTTTCGTAATAATTGCATATGAAAATTCATGTTCGTGTTCTATTCAACTAGAACTCAGGGAGCAGAAATGAAATATTGAATCCGCAAGTAAAATTCTACCTGGAAGTTTAATGTCACCTGTAGTTCTCTTAATAATGAGTGGGTCCAGTGTACTCCACAAACCTCTCTATTATGTCCGGTTGCCTTTAAAAATTGGCCGTAGGTGTCTCCATCTAATAAACGTCATGAGGAGGAAGAGGGTAGCTTAGTGATGCGAATGTCATTCATCATAAATGAGGTGTCGGCTTGATCTCCACTCAGGCTCGCCGGACCTCCAGTCCCTCCGGGACCGGAGCATGTGCACCAGACTTGCCCTGGACGGGCTCACTCACTTTAGTTATCGTCGTAACGTTCTAGCACCTCTATTCGAAGATTCCTCGAATAATCAGCTCAGTCAGCATTCAACGAAATTCATAAAGAAAGCAAGGGTCATCTGTGGCACTGACTACTTGACTTAATTGATACCAATGAATGTTGTAGCGGTTTAACTGTTAAACCGATAAATTTCGAACTTTTGTTTTTACATGAGCTGTCATCACATCAATGCTCATTCCGTGTTTTTTATCTTCGGTTATAACTGGTAACTTATAGATGACGAAGTGTTGTCTGTAGACGTGGACTCGGACGCTTTATTGCGAGAAGACAGAGATTTGAGCGCGGAAGGAGACGTTAGAGTGCACAGAGGCATGTTAATGAGTGCTCGCTACGTTTTTGATACATTAAGGTATTATTTTATTGTTTTTTCATCATTTTGAGAGGAAATACTGCATCGTATATTTCCAGCAGTTATGATAAATTTTCATTCAGCTCTATAGAATTTAACCTGTCTTCGGTTTTGGTTTTATGGTTCAAAAAGTGCGAACTAATCTCCATATAATTAGGAAGCATCAGGTTCTCAATGATCTTACCGTTTTGAATCCACACTATCATTTGGTTGTTTGTGGACACTCATTGGGTGCCGGTGTTGCATCGCTGTTAACGCTACTACTTAAGTTAGTTGGTGAATTACTATGAAGTAAACGATTGTTGGATTTTCTTGGACGTATTTAAGGCAAGAGTATCCTGATGTGCGATGTTTCGCCTTTGCTCCACCTGGTTGTGTTATTAGCGAAAACGGCCAACATGAAATGGAACAACACGTGATGAGCATTGTGAGCGGTGATGATGTGGTATCACGAATCTCATTTCATGTAAGTCTTCCAGCGTAGTTTGTTGGGATCTCAGTTTGGATTTATTAATGTACATTCTGGAATGATTGTATTCTCTTCAAGTGGTCCAATGCTTCACCGTAGCTAGGGGTTTTCCTGTGTCGCAGTTCCATGTATAGTAAGAATTGTGTGTATGGTAGAGTCATATATGCTGAGAAAGGTCCGAACATCTACACCGTGCCGCTCAATCGGTAGTAAATACGTGGTAAGTCCTTATTTGGATACTTGGATGGCCCATACTGACTTTTTGTGCGGGCCCCAACATAATCGCCATTTTTCGGAGTTTTGCCGGCTTACCTATTGTGGTTCCTTGGAGTTCCGTGATCAGCCAAACCAAGGTCTGCACCAAGTTGTACCACCATAGGCAGTCGCTGCCGTTGTGGATCAGAGAGAGATTTACCATCGTACGACTAGTTTGGTGCCGGGACAGTGGTGGATCCTGGTATTGGTTTGCTCTTAGCTAGACTTCCTGGTGGAAGCGCCGGACTCTTTTTCAGCTTGTGAGACCTTGCCAGGGGATGAATCTCCCACTGTACATCGCAGTCCGACACCCAAGAGCACCTAGCCACGATGAAGCGGCAAATCGTTGGGAAGATGTGACAAGTTCGGGGTCTCAAATGAAACTTGTTAGGCGGATATTGCACTGGAGCCTTCAGGTTCCTTCAAGCGCGTAGATCATCCAGAAAGTGAGTAGATATTTTCGTGATATGTTGAAGCTTTTCGATCAGAAAGACAGTTCACGTTACTCTGAAGTTCATATGATCAGTTTCAACGTGTTTCTTAGGAGCACTTAGGATTAGCTAACTGAATTCCAGTTTATATGTTTATATTGATTTTAAAAAGTATGGTAAGACGAGCTAATAATCAGTGGTAGTTGATGAACTTGCTGAGAGAACGAAATGTTTTTGTGATATTTGTACGATTTATTTAGGCCATGCATCGATTGCGTATGAAGGTTATAGCCGAATTGAATGCATCTACCAAGGCGAAGTATGAGATCTTGATCCGTGGAATTTTTCGACTCTTTTTTAATCCTGCATGGGAAACCGGTCCATTATCCGGAACTGGTAAGGGATTTACTTGGTGTTCAGTTTTATAAGACTGTTTTTAATGTTCTAGATTATTACAACACCGCACCGCATGCTTAGCAGACTGTTAAAGATTGCCCATGATAATAAGTAAATTAATGATCATGCTCGGACAAACTGCACAGTTTTTAGCTTTTTCTTGACTTATTATACTATTTTTTTATATAAAAATTTTTGTTTTAAAGTTACTATATTGATTATTACGACATATTAATTACCATGCATATATATAAAAATATATTACACTATTATGCATTATTATTATATTACATAGTATATTGTTATGTTAATAAAATATTGAACTATTCTAATGATGTGGAATTCTCCTTTCTCTGTCTACCATAGTTAAATTTCAGTTTAATCTCGGTGCACTTTTTGTTTCCGTCGCTTTTCTCAGTGATAAAATATCTTGTCATATTCACTCTAATAACCAATATTTAGATGGCTTCCTCTTGAGAGAAACTGGGTTTTGCCTGCTTTTTAGGTTTATCATAGTAGTATACTCTTGGGACCAGAAAGAGTATTATGCTATTAGAGCTAGGCTTTCCACCCGTTTTGCTTCCGTGATCCATAAATGGTGGGACCTGCAAGTGTCGTGAAGTGAGTAGCCGGAGTAGTGTGCAGTTGTGAGTACAACTAGTGCATATGTGCTGTTGCACGAAGTTCTGGACTTTGGAAGCACAGGAACGAAAACGTATTGGGCAGGCTGAAGGCTTGATTTTTGAGCATTTTCTCAAAAAGTTGTTGTTGAGGTATTAAAAATGTCAGTAGGTTGGTGGAAGGTCCAATGAATGTGCTAGGTAAGGCAAATACCGATTATCTTATAGACGGTCACATTAGCGAACATTTGCATGATCTTTGAATCTGCGCTGTCGTTTTTCTTATCAAGGTTTCGTCTTATCACCTGGCTACCACATATCTGTTTATTTTCCAGAATATGACTCTCAGAAATGAGTTGTTTGTTGAAGGAGTTGACGGTAGTACGGTGTGTGAAATGTACAGGATGGTTTCGTAAAGCATCATCAAAGCATTAAAAGGATAAAGGCATTAATTCATGCTTTTAGATAAAAGAGCGTGTGTCAGATTGATGATCGAAAAAACGTAATTTGTACTTTCTGAGAGCTCTAAAAGAGACTAGTGCTATTCGCAGTCTTCTGTACATCTCCACCAATAAATTGTTCACTGTTTTCGATTTTTCCTTCATATCAGCGCGAGTTTCTGACAAATTATCTTCTTCACCTGTTGCCATAAACGATTTCAGACGACGAGTTCGTTTCGGAATCCTGGAATTTGCCTTGATTAACTAAATATTCATGAATATTGTTAGTAAAAACTTAAAGATTCTTTTGATTCACACTTTTAGTGGTAAAGCTCACTGGAAGCTGAGATTTGTGACAAATATCTTCCTACAAGTTGATTGTCTTTCGTTTTTGTAGAAACACCTCATCCACTGGAATGCTATGATAAACAACTATGACGTGATTTCTCCCTGTTATTTCCTGTGGGTTTCCTAATGAAGTCAAAGAAGTTCTGTGTCAAGCTGTTGACTTTGCAGAAGGTTGAGTGGGTACTAGGACTCATAAGAATTTTCCGATTCCCTTACAATTCAACCTCATTACATTCTTTGGCCTAGAAATTTGATAGGATGTTCTGTGTGTTAGGAAAAGGTGTTGCTAATTTAGTAAAATGGCATGTGTTGAAAGCTTATTGAAGGAATCCGTTTTGCCTATGTTTTTCCTATGCACAGATAGTCTTTATGAAGAACTTGTAAACTGCACATAACACGCAAATTAAGCTCTATGTTCCGGGAACCAATTTATAGGACGTTTCTTGCAACTCACTTCCTACTTTTGATTATTTTATACTATGGAGAGTGTCTATTTCTGTCTAATCAGAAGCAACCACTGAGGTAAAGCAGCGAATGAGAATGACTGCCTCGCTGACATTTCAATAAGATTTGTCCTTTTTTTCTGCATATATTAAGAATTTATTTGCTATTCGTTGATTTACTGTTTATTGTTTATTGATTTACTGTCTTAGTTATTTTGTACCACATCAATTCTTCTTCGTTTTATGCAGGAAGCACTTGTGAAAGCCTTTGTGAATCACTGTATGGAACAGTTATACATTCATTCACCTCTAACGACTTTTAGCGGAGGTTGATCAAGGCCTTCAACGATTGATCAATGCCGGATGTTTAGTCCTTTTATCCTTTATGTAGCATATATATGTATATAATATATACGCAGATTGATATGCATAAATACATATGCTCCAGCTCAACTTTTGAACACTTCCTGTCGTTGTGAATAAGAGACGTATAAAGCATCATGCCACCATGCAGTTGAAGGTGATGTATAGGTTATCAAGAATATTCTTTCTACTGGTTCTGCAAGTTTTTTCTGCTGGTGAAAGGTGATTGCCGTTAAACAGATATAAATAGTTGCTAATTTTAAAAATTCTACACGATTCGTCCACGTCTCAAGTATACTTAGACAACTTCCCATTAGCTAAGGCCTCTTTAAGGTGGTATCACTGATCGTGACAATCTTATCGTGGAGAGTGTGTTAAACGGAACTTACGGAGCAACAGTTAGCGCACCTTCAAACGGAACTGCAATAACACTTTCAACGAATCAGCAGTTGACTTCAAGAGTAGAGGTTGGAACAGCTTTGCTATCGATTGAGTAGGATTTTTTTTGCCGTAAAACTGTGTGCCTGAGAATTGATAACATCTCCTGTTACAGAGTTTGCGAATAGTTGCAACTGCATGAGTATCTCGCTTAGTCCAGTTAGCCGCTAAAATGTGTACAGTTATTGATTAATGTTAAACATCAGTGTTACGTCACTCCATATTTGCGTTCTTATCGAAGCCAGTTTCTGTCTCCCACCAAGTTGTGCCGATACCGCTTTTAGTTGTTGTTGGGTTGCGCTTTTTCATTCTATTTGTTTCTTCGTAACCATCAACTGTAATCCACAATCTCTTCGAACTTTTGCGTGTGTGTTCGGCTTCTGTTTGAGAGTTCTTCTCTCGTTTACGTTCTTTGTTAACATCGTTGATTGGCGGTCGAGAAAATTTATCCTGGAATTCTGAAATAGCCACACTACAATGTTCCAACAAGTAGTCATACATTTGCGAATTGGAGGGAGTGAACTGATCCCAGACCAATCTGGCACGAATTTGCCGACTCTGGAGGAGGACGGGAAGCTTGATTGGCCAGGGTAGGAGTTGCACCGAGAACTCGATAATATCACCAACTACTTCGTTAGAGCTAAAAATTACAATTTACATTTGGTTATCGAAACCCGTATGATAGCTTACCTTCAAAAAGAATAATCCCAAATCGGCGGGGGACATAGTGCACGGCCATCCTGCTCACGAAAGTTGACCGAAGAGATCCTTGTAAATACCATCGAATATGCTTGTTGATTGTAATCTACAAGCTACTCACAAGGATTGTGCTCTCGCAAATATCAAGGACATCGCATGAGGCGCAACCAGTTAAGCTAAGCAGTGTATCGACAGGGATTTTGCTGCGCGGGCCACATCCAAACTGTGTCCAGGACGATTGACCTTTGTCGGGAATTTCTGGTCCTAACTTTTATCGACCGTGGAAAAGCGTTTGACAGTCTCGAAACGAATGCAATGCTATAAGCGCTTCTCGACCAGGGAGTGGACCCGTCCTACAGAAGAACTCTTTCTGACTGTTTTCGGAACATAACAGCGAAAATACAGCTTTTTTCATCTTATTTCCAAAGCAGTTTACTGCTGCATTGCAGTGGGTAATGAAATCATTCGATTAGAATGAGAAATCCACACGTATTGACTGAAAATTCCTATCAAATATTCGTTTCACCGATGACATCTTCATATTCGCAAGAAGCACCGATAAAACAAAGATTATGATCAATGAGCTCAACAAATCGAGAAAAAAGACTGGACTGCTCATAAATCAGAGTGAGACTCAGTGCATGAAAAATCCATGGTGCGAAGGCAAACAGGTCAAACTGGATGGTTCTCCGATTACAGAGACCAATTCGTACGTGTAACTCGGGCGTTCAATGAATATGGACAACAACATGAAAGAAGAATTTGTCAGAAGGAGAGCAGCATCGGCTGCATTCGGGCCACCAAAAGAAGCCACAGGCGAACTAAGGGGCCTAAAAATCCGTGATCACTTTTTCGATACAACACTCATTCTAGTGCTCTGTCATGCAGCAGAGATATGGCCCTATACTTCACCCACGCCGAGAATACCGCATACTTACAGAGCGCTTGATCGATGTCTTATGAAATACAACCTACACATAAACAGCATCAACGCGGAATGCAAATGCTCTGATCTTCGGAATCCATTTCATATTTCATCATCGATATCCAGGAGGACACAGATCGACAGTGAGATATAAGTGGCTACGCTATATAATGTGAAAGGTGGACGGCAAATGGGCGAAAAGAACTGTAGAGTGGACTCCATAAGGATGCAGGTATTCTGCTTAGGACACTTGCTTACAAATTCTGTAATTCCGAAATAGTTCCCATTTACAAATGGTGATAATTGACGTTAACCACAAACACGTACGTCCATCGTTTGGGTGGTCGTTTAACAGGACGCTTGCATTTTCTTGGATTCCACTCCACTGTTCTTTTCATCTATCTGTAATCTGTTTTTCTTAATACGTGACCAACCGATCTCTATCGATGTATATCCTCCTGGATCTCGGAGATGGACAGATTTCGAGGATCTAACTTGCGAATTTCTGCTGGGTATTGAGTGTGCTGGTTATATTTCAGAAGACATCTTTCAAACGCTCTGTGAATACTGCGCAATATTCTTGGCGTGGTTGAGTACTATCTCACATCTCTGCCGCATAACAGAGCGCTGAGAGGACTCTTGGATCGAAATGGTGGATACGGAGTTTTGGGCCGATTAGTTGTTTGATAGCTTCATCGACTGGACGGAATGTTGCCAGTGCTTCTCTCCTTCTGTATTGTTCTTCCTTCATGTTGTTCTCCATGTTCATCCGGTTAGTTCGATTTCTTCACCTTCGCAGATTCTTCATGAAGTGCGTTTTCATCCTATTCATGCGCAGTCCAATCCTTCTTCGCCTTTTGTTGAGCCCGTTGAGCATCGTCTCTGTTCCAGTTTTTCTCCACTTCCCCTCAAATGGCATATCACGCCGAAACAAATGAATATTACCAAAGTAGGCATTGTAGTTTAAAACATGGAAAAGCACATTTTTTTTCCTTAGACTAAGCTTGCAAAAGGAAGAGATTGGGAAAGCATAGTAAAATAAGTTGCATTGCGTATTTATAGTCGCAGCAATAATGTTTCTCTTTCTAAGGCTATTAGGCCATTTCCTTTCTTCGTCTTGGCACCATTTCTCGTAACGCAGCTTGCAGATTTGCGTGAAACGCATAGGTGCCTGTGAAGTAAAAGTTGAACTTATTTATGTTTTTGCTGACGTGTCCGTTTATTCTGTGGGGTCACTTTTTGGATGAGATATGCATTGACTGCACTTGGTAATTGATAATCGACGCACTAATAAAAAATTTGTCTCCATGACAATTGTAGTTGTCAAGTTCGTCTTTTACTTATCATTAGTATACATTTAGGAGAATTATCGGAAAGTCATAAAAGTCTTCAACTAAAAATATTACATGGTTGGTAGTTTTCCTAATCGGTATGTACAATAGTCACTTGTATTATGTGTTGTCCTGTTCATCGTCGAGTGACTCGAGGGAGCGCTAGCAAACCTTCGATCTCTCCCTGTCGCGCGTAAGAGCAGCCCAGTGGATTCTGCTTGCTCTAGCGATTCGTTGACTCGCAATATTGTATCTTCTGGAGTTTTCATAAAGAGCGCTACCGTGGAGCGGTGGTCATCCTTCTATGCACATAACATCCCAAAGAATCCAATCGCTTACGGCTTTTGCCCATCGC